CCCAAATTGCCACATCAAAATGCTGTTTATATGTCTGTTTTTAGAGCACCAGAACAAACCCCATTAACCCAAATCTGTCAACCCAGTCCTGGAGGCTCACTGACACAGGGATTTGGAACACCTTTCATTGCTCAATAGCAACCTGTACAGGATATGGCTGACTTAAGACTGGCATTGGGATTCTTTGTGGAGTCCTTTCTTCATCAGCCCTCAGGATGCTATAGTTGAGGGGTAAGCCCCCAGAAATATGGGAAAATCCTAATGGTTTCACCAAGACTCTCTTCTAAGAATGGGAAGACTTCTTCATTCCATCATTGCTCTAAATTGCTGAGTGTATTTAGACAGCTCATCCGCTTGATTTCGAAGTTCTTGAACCGCCTCTGTATTTGGATACTGCACTGCAGCATTTTTGGTAGCAACAGCCAAGTTCTTCAGCAGGCTACAAAACTGGCTGCTGCTGCGGAGGATGTCATTCCGAATATCCTTTTCTTGAGTTTCCTGACAGAGAGAATCCACCAGCCTTTGTCCCACCATAATGATCAATTTACTCTGTGCTATGAAGACTTCAGGTGGTTGGCTATTGCTAAGACTACTGGTAAATACACAAATGGCTTTCTGAAGGCCACCAAAATACAGTCTACAGTTTTCTGAGAGAGAGATTTTCTTTGCCAAGTCCATATTGCTCTGAATATTATCCTTTTTTGCAGGTGGGAAAACCTAAAAAAAGTGGAAAAGAAAACATGAAAGACATTTAGCTTGGTAACACAGATTGTTTCCTTATCCACTTTTTCCTGTATTCTCCTACAATTTCATTTAAATTAAATCATTCTTCATACCTCACAGCTGATTTGCCACAGCCACAAAATTGTAACAGCCTGGAGACCTTTTGTAATTATAAAGCACGTTTTCTAGTTTTGGTAGGCCATGAAATATCAGATTTTAAAATATGATCCTAACTTCAATTTACCTTTTGCCCACATACACACACTTCACCACATACACACACTTCACTTAAAACATGATTTTAGTAGCTGATGTCACAAGAACGGTTGGAGTTAAAAGACAATGATTTAAAAAGGCTGACCACTTGGAATTCTAGTTTTCAAATGCGAAAGCATTTAAGCCTGATTGTGCAAGGTACTGGCAAGGTACAAGGCTTCCATCTCTCATTGAGGCTTTTGAGATATTAGCTGTCTCAGCCATACCCAAAATAAAATGAAAAAGGCAAAATAGTAAATAATGCCACGATTTAAAATTACAAGATCTTATGACATGAGGAGCAGAAGCACTTCTCTGGACTTGCATAAATGCTTTCAGAACTTATCAATTCTTCCAAGCACTGTTGCCAGACAAGAGATCAGTTTAAAACAAAAGATCCCTACATAAAAATGTATTGTTCTAGGCACATTCTAGGTGTTAATAAATATTAACAAGGTGTAGAAGCCACATATAACTTCAAGGAACAAAACCTTTACTAGCAACAGTTTTCCAAATCAGAAATACCTTTGTTTTTAAATCAGCAGTCTTCTTTGCTACCTCTTTAGCTGAAAGGGGTTTTTGTTCCTGTTTCGACACAAATGACTTCTGAAAAATGAAAACACTTGAAATTATTTATATAGTTTCAACATACTAAGCAAAGTTTTGTTTTACATAATGTCATCAGAATTTTTGTCATGCAGCCAAAATGCTGCTACTGTAAACAATGACACCTGCTGAAATTATAAATTAAAAATATAAATGATCAGCTGTAATTTCTACTACAGAATTTAGAAACTGACTCTGAAAGGAGTAATAGGAATACACCTCATATCAGTGAACTACTTCCAGCTAATGTTGGTATATGTTATGACAGAGCCATTTATTGTCTGATACTTATTATTTTTACTCTGTTCCCAGATTAAGTTCCAATATTTAAATCCAGATATTATTTCCTGGCATTTGTTTTAAATACACACTATCTCTTTCTCTCTCAGGATTTTATACTGCTCCCCAAAATATCTGAGTGACTTCCATGCTAAAGCAATAGCAAGAACAATATTCTTAGTGGATGTGTCTAGACTGGCCAGTTTTTCTGGAAAATCAGCCACTTTTCCGGAAAAACTTGCCAGCTGTCTACACTGGCCTCTTGTATTTCCACAAAAGCACTGATGATCTCATGTAAGATTGTCAGTGTTCTTGCGGAAATACTATGCTGCTCCCGTTCAGTGCTCCTGAAAGAGCTGGGGCCTTACACAGAAGGAATGGGACTGGGGAAGCCATCCCCCAGCGCTGCCTGGACCATGCCGTCCCTCCCCCCAGCCTCACAGCCACCCAGAGCATGCTCCGTGGGGCTCTGAAGTGAGCCACCTGGCACTCTGGCAGTGATTTAAAGGGCTCTGGGCTCCAGCCACCACTGCTGCTTCAGTAGTGGCAGTGGCCTAGAGTCCCAGGCCCTTTGAAATCACCCAGCCTCGGGGCATTTCCCTCCTAGTCCCCCCATCAGTGGGTCTGCTCAAGTGACAAACATCTGGAAAATAAATAGATCAGTTAATCTCCAGTATGAGATGAAGTTGTTTAGATCATTTGGTTTATGTGTTAACACCTTTTGGAAATTACCCCTACACCTCAAAGTTACATTTTCTAACAAATCACAAACAAGGAAGCTGACATTTCCTGCATCTGGGAACCCTATCTGATATTGTGCCATAAACATTATGCTGACAAGAAACAAATATGCCCCAAAAGAAACACCCTGCTTGAAGCTGGGCTGAAAATTTAGCTCTTAGAAGATCTGGACGGTGAGATTCAAAGAATTGCTCTCCATGACTGGACAATCCCCATGTCTCTAGTCTTTCCTATATTCAACTGGCGCTCATGGGTATGGTTGCTGTAGGGATGTTAAATTTCAATTAATCAACTAATCGAGTGGTCAGTGGAATTTCCATTGACCACTCGATTAGTCGATGGGATGGGGGTGCACTTGCTATCCCACTGTGACTCTGCTTTTGAAATGTACAAGAGCCACCCGTGGTTCTTGTACATTTCAAAGGGAAAGGCTCAGCGGGGACTGAAGCAGTCCCTGCTCACGCGCGGTCCCGACTGCTTTGTTGCTCTTATACATTTCAAAGGGAGAGATTGCTTTGTTCCCCACTTGCTCTGTTTGCCCTGTTGTGCCTCTGCCTCCCTGCCCACCCCCCACAGAATTGTGCTGGGGGGAACTGGCTTTTAAGCTGGCTCCCTCCATCCCCAAGGCAGCAATAGAAGGGAGACTAGTTGAGTAGTGACTTGAATACCCAATTAGCTTGGCATATCAGATAGTCAACTAGACAGCATCCCTAGGCTGCTGTGACATACAGGCAGTCCCCGACTTACGCGGATCCGACTTATGTCGGATCCGCAGTTACGAACGGGGCTTTTCTCGCCCTGGAGGACACGGACTGCGGGACCTCGCGGTCCCGCCACCCGTGTACTCCAGGGCGAGAAAAGCTGCTCCACGTCTCCCTGGTCTGCAGACCAGGAAGACGCGGAGCAAAGCTGCGGAGAGGCTCGGGCAGCCGGGCAGCCCAGGCGCGCCTCGGCTGTCCCACC